GCCGTGGGCCAGAGGGGTGAATCACGCTGTCGTCCCCTCGCTTCCCCGGGCTGTGCAATCGCAGCCGGTAATTACCGTGTTTATGGCACAGCGGTGGTAGGCGGCGGGAAGGAGGAGCGTGTGCCTGGGGCCGGATCCCCATGTCTGGATCCGTGTGCTCCCCTCCTGTGCCATGCAGCCAGCTGGCTGTGGAGCCTGTGTCTCCGTCGCCACTACTCACTCCCTGCTGGGCTCTCCTGGGCTGGGTCATGGTCCCCTCCTGATGCCCCTGAAAGCTGCTCCTGCTTTGTTGCAGTGTGCCCATTCCTGGGAGAGTGGTGTTATTCCTGGTGCCAGGTGGCCCAGTCTGGGTCCTGCCCTTGCTTGCATGGTGCCACCAGTCTGTGGGAGCTGCTCAGCAGGTGGTGGAGGATGAAGCAAGGCTGCAGGTGCCCTCACCTTCAGTATGGGGGCACTGGCAGGTCCCAACATGCAAGGACCTGGCGTCAGCAGGGAGGGGTGCTCTGCCTGCACGCCTCGGCTGCCATAGGGGCCCTGCTAAGCAGCCGGCTCCTGCCAGGACTTACTGTGACCCCCTGCAGAGGTATCCTGATAGGTCTCCCTGCAGCAGGTGACAACGTTGTCCTGGGGTGGCCAGCTTGACCGAGCAGGGGATACCAGTGGCGTGCAGCATCCCAACCCTGCCTGGCCCAGGAGGGGACCAGCCAGCACCACTGGAAGTAGTGGCATCACATGCCCTCTGGCTGGCAACTCTCAAGTAACTGAGCTGGCCTCTAGAACCTGCTGTCTGGAGCTACTGGCTCTCCCCAGGGCTCCAGGCAGGGAGCAAGCCCCGGCGCAGGGGAGCCTTCAGGGCACAGCCTCCTGCGTGGGGAGCACCGTGGGGATGGGGGCTGAGCCGCAGGCAGGGTGCTGCAGGCCCAGGGCAGGAAGCAGGCGGGCTGCTGGCCAGATCCTGTTGGCTCGAGTCTGGGTGTAGCAAGCGGCTGGACCTGTCCGGCGGTGCTGCCGCGGAGAGTTGCACAAGGAGCCAGGAATAGAGCGGCAGGAGGTGATTAGAGGCTGCGGGGCCCAGCTTGGCGGCAGCAATAAATAGACGAGGCTTAAGCCTCTGCCTACCTGGGTGAGGCTGTTGGGCACATCTGCCTGCACAGGGCAGCCACAACCTGTCCCTGTGGCTCCGTTCCTGCTGCCTCCCTTAGGCCAGCCCCTTCCTGTTGCCGCAAGCGGAGCCGAGGGGCTGGTGCTGGTTGGGAGTCCTGCCATACGTGATGGTCCAGCTGTGAGGATGCACGCCCCAGTTCAGTGGCCGCAGCAGCGTGGAAAAGTGATCCTGGCTGTCTCCTTCAGGCTATCTGTGGCTGCTGCTCCACTACCCTCCCAGGGCAGGTGCTGCCTCCGACCTTGCTCTGTCCTGCGGTATTGCAAATCCCTCCTGCCCGGCACCGTGACTGCTGAATTGGCAGCACTGGCTGCAGCCGGCTGCCCTCGCTCCTCTGGACACAGGTGTAGGCAGGATGCTGCCATCAGGGGTGCTCAGCATCCAGCCATGGGGTAGCTGAGCTCCTGTGCCCCATGGGGACCCCTGGGCAGAGTGCCACATTTTGTATCCAGCTCACTGGGAAAGCGGGTGCTGTGCGAGCTCCAGTTGTCTCAAACAGGGTGGGACAAGGCTGGTACAAAAAAAAAAAAGTCACGTAGTGCTTTCTGTCACTGCATACTTGCCCAGGAAAACCTGCCTGGGGAAGGTGGCTCAGCCCAAAGCTGGTGGTGGTGGCTGCGGCTGTCCCCAGTGGCCAGTGTGTGTGGGCACGGGCATCCTTCCTGCCCAGCTGGGGCTTCACGTCCCATGTCCTGTCCCCACAGGAAGGGTGCCAGCTGGGCCGCCCCAGGGAGAGGGGCAGCAGGAAGCAGCTGTTGTCACTCATTGTCCCCAGCTTGGCTGGGAGTGACAACAGCTCCTTCCTGCCCCATGATTCCGGCACAGCTGTGGGGCCAACGGGACAGGGCTGTTCCCACAGGGTTGCAGCCTGTTGTAGGGAGGGCAAGGTGCCATGGGACTGGCATGGGGTGACCCAGACCCATGGGGAGCACTGGCTGCCAGGGGTCCCTGGGAATGTGGTTGGGAGCTGTTTCATGGAGAGCCAGCTCAGTTCAGCCCGTTCCTGGGGTTGCTATGGGTTGACAGCCCCCAGCCCAGCAGTGCCCTTTGCCCATCCGCTGCCCTGGACACTGTGTACCTGCCATCTGGCCTGCAGCTGGTCCCTGCCAACCTAGGGTGGGTAGAGAGGAGCCCCCTCCTGCTTTGTCAGGACTGCAGCTCAGCCCCTGTAATCTCTTTCCTTGCTCCAACTCACCGGCTTATTTCCTGGCTAATTCCCCAAGCTATAAATACTGGTCTGCCTCAGAGGGCCTAGAGGCCACCTCATGGGTCAGGAGCTAGTTCTCCTAGCATGGGGGAAAGAGCTCTTCTCCCTTCTGGGGGACAAAGGATATCACTTGAGGGGGGCAGCTGTTGAGGGGCTAGTGGGACCTTGGGCAGGATTAGCTTTGGCAGAGTTCCCCCTGGCTGTGTTGGGGACTGTCCTGGGCAGGGTGGTCCCACAGGCACCACTGTGCATGGTACGAGAGGTCTCTAGGAACCTGTGGGGATGGGGAGGTGAGGAGCTTGGGGCCTGAAGGGGAGCCCTGTCCCTTGGATGAGCATCTTCCCCCTCCCCAGGCCGCAATGAGCCCCTGAAGAAAGAGCGTCCCAAGTGGAAGAGTGACTACCCCATGACGGACGGGCAGCTGCGCAGCAAGCGAGATGAGTTTTGGGACACAGCCCCTGCCTTCGAGGGCCGCAAGGAGATCTGGGATGCCCTGAAGGCAGCTGCCTACGCCGTGGAGGCCAATGACCACAGCCTGGCTCAGGCCATCCTCGATGGAGCCAGCATCACCCTGCCTCATGGTGAGGGACAGTGCCATGGTGGGTGGGGTGGGATGGGTGCTGAATGTCCTATGTATGGGCACATGGGGACCCCAGTTTTGAGAGGACAGGTTTTCCCAGCCACCATCCATGCAGCTCAGCCTGGACAAAGTAGGGCAAGGCATGGGCTCTGTCCCACTGCCTGGGGTGACCCTGTCCCCATTTGGGTGTTCCATGGGGATGCCCACCCACAGCATGTCACCCTGTTGTCCTCAGGGTCCCTGACGGAGTGCTACGATGAGCTGGGCAACCGGTACCAGCTGCCCGTCTATTGCCTGGCACCTCCCGTCAACCTGATCCTGGAGCGGAGCGAGGAGGAGGCGGCAGAACCAACGCCCGCCGGGAGTTCACCCTCAAGGTGCGGCTCTCCACTGGCAAGGACCTACGGCTCAGCGCCAGCATGGGTGACACCATCGGGCAGCTGAAGAAGCAGCTGCAGGCGCAGGAAGGCATCGACCTGGCCTGGCAACGCTGGTTCTTTTCGGGCAAGCTGCTCACTGACCGCACACGGCTGCAGGAGACCAAGATCCAGAAGGATTTTGTTGTGCAAGTGATCATCAACCAGCCCCTGCCGCCCAGGAACTGAGCCACCCCCGCACTGGTTGCGGGGAGAGGGCAGGGGGCTCAGGGGCAGTGGCACCTCTGGGGCTGCCCGTACTGTGTCCCAACCCTGCCGGAGCCAAGGCAGCCTTTGCTCCTCCCTGAGACTGCCCCCACCCGGGCGACCCCCCGGGAAGGTCTGCATGGGGCTGTGTTGCTGCGATGGCCCCTCGTGCTGAGGACAGACGCACGCTGCGTTTGCTGCAGGGCGTTTGAGACCAAATGTCTCCAGAGTGGTCAGTGTGGCCGTGGTCCTGCTGCCGGGCTGTGCTCGTGGGGAGAGGCTGTGACCCACAGGGCTGCGGCCCCCCTGGCCAGGAGGCCCCGGGGTGCTGGGCTGGGTGGAGATGTCTCTGCTCTGTACATAGTCTGTATTTATCAATAAAGACTTTTCATCCTTCCTCCAGCCCCTGGGCAGGCTGGGGAGGGCTGTCACCTGCAGCCGTGGAAGGTCCCCGTGCCCGTCCCACATCTGCACCCTCATTGCAGTGGGCACAGGGTGGCCAGGGAGAGCCTGCGTGACTCCGCTGTGCTCTCCGGTGCCACCACTTGACCCTGTCCCACCAGTCCTGGCTCTTTGCCTGCCTGGACCCTTCCCCAGTGCTGCTGCCATTGTCCCATTGCCATCCTGGCTGCTTGCTAGTGCAGAGCCACTGCCTACCTTTCCCGGTGCTTCCTCTCTGCAGGTTTCAGACTGTCCTGGGGCCAAGGAGGACAGTCTATGGAGGGGGCCAGTCCCAGGACCATCTTTGCAGCCACCATCCCTTGTCCTCGTGCAAAGAGTGCCTTTCTACGGCTGGAGACTGTGGACCTATGGGACAGGACACCCCAAGGTGGCCCTGGGAACTGCCTAGGAAGGTGCCAGTGATGTGACCTCATCTGTCCTTCCCCCAGATCCTGTGCTGGGGGCCGGTGCCCAGCGCATTAACTGTCCTGGCACAGGGCGGTGCCGGCCTCATCTTACAAAGGGGAAGAGCGAAACCCAGGGGGGCTGAACAATGTTCCTATTGCCGGGAATAGCTGCCGGCTCTGCCCACTGGCCCCACGTGAGGCCACCCTGCTGCCAGGCTGCCCGTGTGCAGTGGGGGAGGCTGTGTATCCACCAGGACCCTGGCAGGGCTGCTTGGGACGCTCTGTACCTGAGGTCATTCTCCAAAGTGGCATGTGGGGCCATGGCTCCTGGCATCACATGCTGGCTGCTGCTGGGTGAGAGGTCTGGGGGGCCAATTGCCTCCTTTTGCGATGGGCAGCAACCCCTCTGCGTGCCAGGGAGCTTCAGGTGATGCTGGTGGGTGCTGCAGTGTCCGTTTGCCTGGAGATGGGGTGATGTGAGCCACGGGGAGCATCCTGGCTGCACAGGGTAAGTGACATAGGCACAGGACTCACAGGGCAACCTTGGACCCTGTCTCCACTCTGCCAAGCTTCTCTGGACTAGCTGCCACAGGTTGGGCACACCCCAGCTCCCTGCAACCAGCATGGGGGTCGTGGCCAGCCTGGGGAGGGGGGCAGCAGGTCTCTTTAAGAGGGTGTGGGGCCAGGGAGGTGAGCTAGGGCCACCAGAAAGCAGGAGGGTGAGCTCATGGCAAAGCTGCCCCAGTCATGTGGAGCAGCCACAGCTGTTGATGCCCTTGGGCTGCGGGACCGAGGGGCCGGCAGCATAAAGCCCCGCGGCCAGCAGAGCCACCAGCAGCACCGGGGGCCCGGGCCACGCACTCCCTGTCCGTGGTGGCAAGGAGGAAAGGCCGCATCCTGCGCAGGGCCGTGCGCCGCGGGCAGGCATGGAGCTGGATGTGGAACGAGCCAAGGAACTCATTGAGCAGAAGCTGGCGGAGGAGGAGGAGGAGGAGAAGGTGGGTCCTTAGGGCAGGAGGACCTGCCCAGGCTGCGGCAGGGACCCGCC